GGGGGGACACACTCTGTGTGATGCCCCTGCTCAGCACAGAGCCAACATCTGGGACACAACAGAGACCACCTTCTCCTCCTGCCCCCGAGCTGCTTCCCAGGCTCTGAGCCCACTGACAGCCCTGGGGAGAGGGATGTGTAATCCATTAACAGCAGGAAATGCGCCCAAGCCACCTGCTTAATATTAAAACTTTTGCCCTTTCTGAAGATCTCTTCTGCTTAAAGGGTACCGTTAACCTAGGAAAGATCAGGGAGCCAGTTTTTTGTTTCTTCTCCACCTTCCTTAGGCAAAGCAAGGGGAGGTGGTGTGAAATTTCAGCACTTTTGGAAGAGCAGTCTGCCTTTCCCCTCCTTTTTGGCACACCTGTAGTAAATCCAGCTCTGGTTACTGAATGTAGCTGTTCTGTGGCAGCTGGAGACAGAACTGAGGGCCAGTGTCTCATCGTGGTGTGACCACAGGTGGGACAGGAGCTGGGGGAGACAAATTCAGTCTCTCCTGTAGCTGTTCAATAGCTGTGTCCCTGCCCGGGGGGGGGCACAGAGGGACTGGGGTCACCTCTGTGAACCCCAAAGCTCCTGTCTCTGGCTGCTCCTTAGCTCAGATAGATGACCAGGAAGACAAAAATAGAAGGTTTTGCAGTTCCAAATCTGACTTTTTTTCTGCCTGGCTCTGGGTTAAGGAGTGCTTACAGGCATCTGTCAGTGCTGCTGGTTACTCCTCAGTCAGGTCATTGCTTTGTTTATTCAGGTGAGCATGTCCCAGCAGCAGTTGCTCCTCCCTTGCTCTCACCCCTGGGGCAGTGTTCCTCAGGTTGGCAAATGCCAACCGAGTCAGATCTTAGGAAGATCCTCTGAAGAGCTTTACTGTTCCCTTGAATTTTGGATGCTGGAGGAACGTGGAAGACGATGGTTCTTCTCACCCACCTGGAAGTATCTGTTGGCTGGGAGCTTCCCCTCACCTCTTGCTATTGGATCTTTCCTCAGGTTCCAATGAAGAGTAGAGCTCGCTGGGGAGGACTTCTCCTTCCTCCAGGTAGATTGGGCAGTGGGAGGAGATCTGTGTGCCCATTCACTTTGTTCCACCTACCTGGTTTTTCCTTGGTAGCCTCACCACATGGCACGGGGACGTCAGGAGAGGACTGGTCCTACCCGGGCAGCTCAGGAGCATTTCCTGGGTGGATGAGACTTTCAAAAGCAGAGAAGGTTCTGCAAACCTCTCCCTGCGTAGCACGGTGTGGGCTGTGGGATGGAAAAGAACACAGGAAACGCCTGCTCTCAACCCTTGCCAAACTCCCTGGGTGCCTCGGGGCAACTCTTTGTTTCCTTTCTGGGTACTGCAGGTATGAAAACGAGTCGGGGAGCTGAACTGTGAAGGACCTTAAAGGGCTGTGTTTCCCAAACCATAAATCCGACCGCAAATTAACGAGCAGCGCGGTGGTTGCTCTGGCGGTCGCTCCGCGTGGAGTTGCAGCCCGGGAGGTTTATCCAGATGAGTCCTGGGGCTGGAGGGGATGATGTTTATATGTTTATTCTGCTTTTATGTTGCAGGCAGGATGAACAAGCAGCTTGAAGGTTGGGGAGGGGGAAATGTGGCCGTGTTTAAACTCCACATTCCCCTACAGGTTATTTCTCGTGTTTAAACTCCACATTCCCCAACAGGTTATTTCTCCTCGCAGGGCTGTCAGTGATTTTTATTTTATTTTTTTTGTGGGGTATTTTCTGGGTGTGAAAGAAGCTGCAGCTTTAAGCTTTTTTGAGAGGGGGGGGACACACTAACCTGCTTGAGATGCAATAACAGGGCTCTGGCGTGGCAGAGATGGGGATTTGGGGCTGGGGTGCTGCTGCCGTGGCATTGAGCTGCCCCCATCCCTCTCCCCACCCCGGGTACACACTGTAGGAATTATTTTTGTAAACCAAGGAGGGTGTCGCAGAAGTTTACTTCTTCCATAGGACTTTGGAAGGAAACAGAGTTTGAGTACGGGGCATCCCCTTCTATTTATCCTCCTCTCCCCCCGCCTGACACACAGACTAACGACGGAGACAATCATTTTGTAGGGAGCCAGGGAGGAAGCACTGCGGGATTTTGTACGCTGGCGTTTTGTTTATATTAAAAAAAGATTTTATGGACATGTCTGTAAAACCTTCTCTAGATTTTTTTTTTCTCTTTTTTTTTTTTTTTCTGCTGCCGTGGCATTGAGCTGCCCCCATCCCTCTCCCCACCCCGGGTACACACTGTAGGAATTATTTTTGTAAACCAAGGAGGGTGTCGCAGAAGTTTACTTCTTCCATAGGACTTTGGAAGGAAACAGAGTTTGAGTACGGGGCATCCCCTTCTATTTATCCTCCTCTCCCCCCGCCTGACACACAGACTAACGACGGAGACAATCATTTTGTAGGGAGCCAGGGAGGAAGCACTGCAGGATTTTGTACGCTGGCGTTTTGTTTATATTAAAAAAAGATTTTATGGACATGTCTGTAAAACCTTCTCTAGATTTTTTTTTTCTCTTTTTTTTTTTTTTTTTCCAGCACACTAATAAAAAGCATCCTCAGCTTTGTAAAGGCAGCGGTTTCCTTCCCTCCTTCCCGTGTTCTTCTCCCCGATAATCCCAGTGGCTGCTGGTGACTGGTGAATGGGTTTTGGGCACAGCCAATAGCTGTGGGCACAAGGACAACCATTTTTTTTTTTTTGGTGCAAACTCTTATCTGGTTTTTTAAAAAAAAAAGAGAAATGGGAGCCTGGGAGGCTGCTGGCACCCCGAGAAGGCAGCGGGAACCCCCATCCGGCTGTTGTGCTTCTTGCAAAACAGCAGAGAGGTGGTTGTCCATCCCTGATGCTGCTTCCAGCCTAGACTTTCCCACAGGCAGGAGAAGCTCCTGGCCACCTACTTGGTGTCCCCATCCCTGGGGGAGCTGAGTAATGTCCCCCCCCCAGCCACCCGTGCTGACCCCGTGCCGTGACGCTGTAGTTCCCAACCCCTCTCTGCCTTAAAAACGGCCGAGTCAGACGCATGTGACGGGGTGTTGAGAAACCAACCACTGGTGAACCTGCAGGAAACCACTTCCCCCAGCCCCTGGGTGAAAGAGGCTGGGGGTGTCACCCCCCTCACACCCCCCTGCGGCTGCTGGCTCAGCGCTGGAGAAGCTGGGGGTGTCCCCTGTCCCCCCTCCCTGGCTCCACGCTGGATGGGCAGAAGAAAACAGCTTCACACACAAGTCAAGGTTGGGTTTGTGTTTGGGTTTCTTTTTTTTATTGCAACTTATTTTTTTTTCCCCTTTTTTTTTTTGTTTTTACAGTGCCAGAGGTTAGGCTGTGGGTAGAAACCTCCAAGTCCTTTCCCTACAGCTCTGTCCATCCCCCCACTCCCATCCCCCAGCCCCAAGGAGGAAGAGGAGGGAAAGCAGGATCTGAAACTCAGGTTGAAAAACATCACTTAAAAAAAAAAAAAAAGCTGGGGAAACCAGCCTCCCTGGGTTTGTTTGTTTATTTTTTTTTTCCCCCTCCAGCTTTGCCTGCCTTAAAACCAAGCGCTGCCCTGGAGCTTTGTCTCACCTTCACCCCACCACGCTCTGCCTTGGCTGCTCTTTCCAGCCCGTGGTGTGGACACGTCACCTCTGCAGTGACAAAGGTGTGTTCCCTTTAGCACCACTGGCCCGAGCCCTGTCCCGGTGGCGGGGGCAGGATGGGAGATGGGGAGGAGAAAAATCAAGCAGTTGAAGAGGTAAAACCTCCCTGCCTCCCTGGGTTTGTTTGTTTATTTTTTTTTTCCCCCTCCAGCTTTGCCTGCCTTAAAACCACGCGCTGCCCTGGAGCTTTGTCTCACCTTCACCCCACCACGCTCTGCCTTGGCTGCTCTTTCCAGCCCGTGGTGTGGACACGTCACCTCTGCAGTGACAAAGGTGTGTTCCCTTTAGCACCACTGGCCCGAGCCCTGTCCCGGTGGCGGGGGCAGGATGGGAGATGGGGAGGAGAAAAATCAAGCAGTTGAAGAGGTAAAACCTCCCTGGGCTGGAGCCACCATCATCTCCTCTGCCCCTGCCACCGGGACCTGGGTGGCCAAGGAAGGAAGCTGAGGTCTTGACCTCCTCCTTGGAGCCACCTCAAGTTGAAGATCAAGCGGAGCAGGGAGAGGATGTTACTGATGACAACCATCTCCTTCTCCTTTCCCAAAGCACAACCAACCAACCCAACCCTCCTCCCCCAAAGCCAAGGGGCTGAGCTGCCTCCAGCAGGGTGGGGGTTGAGGTGCCCTTGTCCCCAGGGAGAAGGGGACAGCGAGGTCCCCACCCTGGGTGGAGGCAGGAGGGAGAGGTGGGGATGGATGCACGTCCCTCGCCCGGATCAGGAGAGATGGATGACCTTGAACTCGGTGAGCAGGGCCACACAGAGGAAGGCCAGGTAGTAGAGGATGAGGCAGACGCCGTAGGCTCTGCCCAGCTGGAAGCACTGCGCCGGCACCGACACGAAGGAGAAGACCAAGCTCAGCCCCAGGGCCCCGGCGAGGATCCAGACCAGGAGGCTGTCGGGTTCCAGCTGCAGGAGAGATGGGGAGAGAGATGTTGGAGTGACACCGGGGTGTCACTGCCACCCTGACCCCATGTCACCACGGAGCAGCCTTACCTTCACCACCAGCTGGCTACTGGTCATCTGCAGCAGGCAGCCCAGTCCCACGCCAACCAGGATGTCTGGGACACGTTCAGGATGGAGAAGCAGCACAAGGGGACCTCAGGACAGCGATGGAGCCGGCCACCTCCCTCCCACCCCGGGGAGGGGGACAGCACCATCCCTCCTCCTCCTCCCTGCCTGCACCCCGTGGCTGTGGCCCAGCCCAAAGTGTTGTCCATTTGTGGCAAACACAACCTGGAGAGGCTTCAGCCTGGTCTAGGGACAACCCAAAGCCTCCTGGATGGTGGCACAGCCTCTTCCCCTTCTTCCTTTTGGTAAATCCCAAATCTGCCAGACCCCAGCCCAAACCTCCACGCTCCTGGGGCTGGGACAGCAGTTGGGGGACAGGAGGATGCTGGTGGCTCCATCCCTGCAGCTCCTAAATGCCACACCAGCCCCTCTGCACTGTGCAGGCACCAGGGAGGTGGCCACCATCCCATGGACTCTGGTCCTGCCCAGCTCCTTCCCAGGGGTCCCCCAGGAGCAGGGGGGGCTGCTGCAGGCAGGGGAAACTGAGGCAGCCCCTGCCCCAAGCCCCACCACCACCCACCCCTGGACACCCAAAGGATACTGAAGATGATGCCCCCGAAGCAGGCGGAGAAGGCCATGCGGGGATAGCCCTGCCGTGCCATGGTGAGGTTGGAGAAGGTGTCTGCAGGAGGAGAAGGGGAGACCTTGGGTGGTGCCAGGAGGCCAGGTAGGCCTGGGACAGGCCCCAGGAGCAGCGGAGGAGCCCCCTTACCACCGATGCTGTTGCCCCAGGCCAGCAGCGTCAGGCCCAGCACGGTGTTGCTCAGCTGGAAGATGATGCCCAGGGTCCGGAGGACGTTCACCAGCTCCGTGGCCGCAGCATTGATCCACATGGCACTGGCCAAGAAGCCAAGGAAGGCAAACACCTGCCGGGCAGAGGGGTAAACTGGTCCCTGGGTGGGTCCTGCAGGACCCTGCACACCTCCAGCCAGCCGTGTCCCTCCTAGGGACACTGGGGACAGGGAAGGAGGTCCTGGCTCCTGCTCTGCCCCCAGGGACCCTCAGCCCAGGCTGGAGACGTTCAGCTCCCTGGTGGACGTTCAGGGCTGGGGGACACCTTACGCAGTGATACTTGGGTGGCTGCTCATTGCTTGTGGTGATGAAGATGATGAAGGCCAGGGCAAAGCCAACCAGTGAGATGAGTGCCCAGACAGGGAAGACGCCCTGGATCTGGTAGAGTCCATCTGCACGTGGTGGAGAAAGGGGGGCATCAGAGCAGCCCTACGGGCACCACATGGGCTGGGGCAGGATCTCACCAGCCTTCTGGTATAAAGCCTTGTCCCCTAAAGCCACCTCTACCCTAAGCCCTCATGGGGCTGCTCCCCTCCGTGCCTCAGTTTTCCCAGGGAGGCCAGGCCTGCCCCATATTTCCCCCAGGACCTGGATGCTGGCTCCCTAGAGTGGGGTGCTAGCTCCAGAGGCCTCCAACAGTCCCCAGAGCTTTGGTGACCATCTCTGTCCCATCCCCTGGGCGTCCGGGGCTGCCCTGGGCTCTTACAGGCGCCTGACTTCAGGGTGAGGACGCAGAGCAGGGGGCTGGTGAGGAGGTGCAGGCAGTTGAGGGGTCTCTTCCAGTTCAGATCGTCCTTGTCAGGGTCCACCACGGGAACCGTGAGCAGCAGCAGCAGCTCCACCGGCACCTGGGAGGAACAGCCGTTGAGTGGGGACCACCAAGAGAAGACACCCCAGGACCCGTCCCCCACCCGCCTGCCCTCATCCCACCATCCCCATTGCAAATCACAGAATCTTCTAGGTTGGAAGGGACCTTAAAGATCATCTTGTCCAACCTAACTGACAAAAATAGACACCCACACAACAAACAAGGAGCATCATCACTAAACCATACCTCCCAGCACTACATCAACCCGTCTTTTGAACACCTCCAGGGATGGTGCCTCAACCACCTCCCTGGGCAGCCCATTCCAATGCCTGAGAACCCTTTCAGTGAAAAAATTTTTCCTAATATCCAGCCTGAACCTCCCCTGGTGTAACTTGAGGCCATTTCCTCTTGTCCTGTCGCCTGTGACTTGAGAAAAGAGACCGACCCCCACCTCTCTACACCCTCCTTTCAGGGAGCTGTAGAGAGCAATAAGGTCTCCCCTCAGCCTCCTCTTCTCCAGGCTGAACACCCCCAGCTCCCTCAGCCTCTCCTCATAAGACTTATTCTCCAGACCCCTCACCATCTTTGTCGCCCTTCTCTGGACCTGCTCCAGCCCCTCGATGTCTTTTTTATGGTAGGGGGCTCAAAACTGGACACAGTACTCAAGGTGAGGCCTCACCAGTGCCGAGTACAGGGGTGACACAGCCCCAGGGGTTGGTGGGGAAGGAGACACCCCATGTGGGGGGCTCCTCCAGGCTCACGTGCCCCCCTCTCCTCACCTTGAAGACCTTGAAGATCCGCCAGTACCAGGGCTTCCTCCTCCACTTGCGGTACTCCAAGGGCCGGAGGGCATTGGTGAAGATGCGCAGGGAGGACTCCTGGGAGGGCAGCAGGGGACGGTACTCCTCGCCTGCGAGGGGGATGTGGTGGCTGAGCGGGGTGGGGGATTCCCAGTGCCACAGCCCCCACCCAGGTCCCCCCCCATCCCTCCAGCATGGGCCTGCAGCCACCAGCATGGACCCCGTGAGATCTCCCTGCCCCAGGGTAGCCCCTGGCCACAGCTAGCCTGTGGGGACAGGGGAGGAGGTCCTGGCTCCTGCTCTGCCCCCGCAGGGACCCTCAGCCCAGGCTGGAGACGTTCAGCTCCCTGGTGGACGTTCAGGGCCGGGGGACACCTTACGCAGTGATACTTGGGTGGCTGCTCATTGCTTGTGGTGATGAAGATGATGAAGGCCAGGACAAAGCCAACCAGTGAGATGAGTGCCCAGACAGGGAAGAAGAACCCCCCAGCCTGGGGGTTCTTGAGTCCTCCAGTGCCCCCCCCAACAAGGACAGAGCGGTGTGTCCCCCCGCAAGCCCACCAGACCCACCATACCGTAGTCCCCGCTGTGGGTGCCCGAGGACTCCCGCTCTTCAGTGTTTGCCGGCAGCTCTGTGGGGGAAAGGAGAGGAGGAGGATGGTGGGGAGGAGGACCCCAACATGCCAGGGGTCCCGTCAGCACAGCTGGGTGGTCCTTACCTGGCTCCCAGGGTCCGGGGGGGGCCACACCTTCCCCCCGCTGCCGCCGGTGAATGCAGGTGCAGAGCACCACGGTGAAGACGTAGAAGACATAGAGCCCCAGGTAACCTGGAGTGGGGGGAGCGATGGGTGATGGG